AGCGCCTCAAGCGCGGCGAGGCCCTGCTGCCCTCCGTGGGCGCCCTGCACGTCTCCTGCAGCTGCCCGTCCCCGCACGCCGCGCAGCCGCCCAAGCTGGCGCCGGCCGCGGCCTTCCCTCCGCAGCCCGTCCATTCCGGCGTGTACACCATCTTCCCGCCGGCCAAGGAGCTGGGCAGGGAGCACAAAGTCATCGCCCCCACCTTCGTGCCTTCGGTGGAAGCCTACGACGAGAGGAGCGGGCCCATCCAAATCGCCTCGCAGGCTCGCGACGCCAAGGCCAAGGACAAGGAGCTCGGCAAGGTGGGCGTGCTGCAGGCGCCCGCGGAGCGGTGCCTTGCGGATGCCTCCCGCGCGCTCATGTCGCAGGACTTCTCTTTGCACAGCGATGCCAAAAGGATGGAGGCGCTGAGGGAGAAGGGCTCGGTGATCAGGGCCACCTCCATGGCACTGAAGAGGCAGGTGGCTTCGGAGCCCTTCCTCAACCGGCCGGGGCTGGGCTCTCCGGAGAGCAGGGAGTTCCTGGCCTCCAAGGACTTACTGAAGCCGAGTCCGGAGGCGGAACATCGCCCCTGCGACCGGGATCGCTTCCAACGCTCCAGCTCCAAAGACGCAGCGAAGGTCTACAGCACTTTGGACTCTTCCCGGCAGCACCTGGACCACGGCCAGTTGAAGCCGCCCGAGCAGAAGTGGAAGCCCTTTGAGATGGGCAACTTTGCCACCACGCAGATGGCGGTGCTGGCCGCGCAGCACAACCACGTCAGCCGGGCAGAGGAGGAAGCCAAGAAGGTCTACCTTGACCCCAGCGGCTTGCCGCGCTCCTCCGTGGTGGGCTCGCGGGGCGCTGCGGATGTCCTCCACCCCGCATCCCATGGCGAAGGGTCAGCCATGCAGAGCCTCATCAAGTACAGCGGCAGCTTCGCCAAGGAGACCACGTCCCGGCAGAGCTGCGGCAAGAAGAGCCCCTTCGGCGGCCTGGGCAACATGAAGTTGGACTCCTCGCAGCTGGGTGCCTCCAAAGTCCAGCAGCTGCTGTCGCAGCAGCCCGCGAAGCAGCTCAAGAGGGACCCTGAGAGACCTGAGAGTGCCAAATCCTTTGGCCGCGAGAGCATTGGCTCCCAGGGCGAGGTGGAGGTGAGACACTTGCCCGTGGGCATTGCCGTGGCCGTGGCCCGGCAGAAGGACAACAGCAGCAGCAGCAGCAGCAAGCTGGGGTCTAGCCTGGCAGACCGAGATCGCTCGCTGTCCCTCAGCAGCATCAAAGGTAGGTCCCTGGGTCTGTCTTTGGGCTTTTCTTCGTGGATCTGGTCACTCCGTAGCGTGGCTGCTATGAGCTGGCTCTGTTCCTGTCCCTCTTGGCTGCCCTGGTTTTATAAGGTTGATGCTTCAAAGGTCCTTGAGGGCATGGAGCTGCCTTTGTCTCCAAGCAAACCTGCTCCTTGGTGTTGTCCGGATGCAGCTCTCTCCCTCAGGGAGGATGCAGTGGTGCCTGTGATGCGACTAGGCCTTGGGATGCAGGCGAATGGTTGGTACCAGTCAAAGACTCAAGGGGACCAGTGGCCAAAACCCAGGAGACATAGGTGCCATAGAAGGACCTGGGGTGCTCCTCTTGCTCTGAGCAGCGTCCACCAAAACCTCATAGATCAGTTCTGACAAGCTTCAGGTCTTTTTTCCTTTTACAAGCATTTCCCCCGCTAATTAATTTTTTTTGTTAAGTAGAAGCCTCCCTTGCTTGCTGTGCTGAGCATCTCTGAGAGAAGGTGCACGGGCCTCCGAGGACACCTCATCGCCATGACTGATCCCTGTCAGCTAAGGGGGGTGGCAGAGAGAGTCCAATCTGCCTTTTGCTCTTGTTTTAATCTAATGGTTTTGTTTTAAAAGGCTCGAGCAGAGGAAGCTCAGAGGCAGCAGTAGCAGCATCTGCTGGGGAGTAGTGGAAAGCTTTGCACTGGTTGCACTAAATCCATTTAGAAACCAATTTCAGTGAAGTCAGAGCAGGGCTGACTCGTCCCCCATGGCTTGCTGAGCCTGCTGTCGTGGGAGAAAGGATATTCTCCACGGAAGAGCTATCTTTCCTACTCTTGGTGCCTGCCAGCGGCACCACTGATGCCTCAGTGGTCCCTTCCAGAGCACCCAAACCTGGAGGGTCTGAGTGCAGCTCCCACCTGTCCTTGAAGAGTGACAGTACCCACAAATAGGTAGTTGTGTCCATCCATAGAATCATAGAATGCTTAAGGTTGGAAGGGACCTCTAGAGATCATCTAGTCCAACCCCCTGCACACGCAGGGTCATCTAGAGCACGTGGCACAGGACTGCGTCCAAGCGGGTTTTGAAGATCTCCAGAGAAGGAGACTCCCCAACCTCTCTGGGCAGCCTGTTCCAGTGCTCTGTCACCCTCACTGTCAAGAAATTTTTCCTTACGTTTCTGTGGAACTTTTGATGCTTCAGTTTGTGGCCATTACCTCTAGTTCTGTCGGTGGCCACCACTGAAAAGAGACCAGCCCCATCCTCCTCACTGCCTCCCTTGAGGTACTTCTGGACACTGCTCAGGTCCCCTCTCAGCCTTCTCTTCTCCAGGCCGAACAGGCCCAGCTCCCTCAGCCTCCCCTCACAGGGCAGATGTTCCAGGCCTCTCATCATCCTTGTAGCCCTGTGCCCTGGCTGTTTCCCGCCTTGCTCCCCGGTTCCATGACAGCAAACCCGAGGCCACCAAGGCGACGAGGGCTGTGAGCGGGTGGGCTGCGGTACCGGCACGCGGGGGCCGCATCGCTCCACGTACATTTCCACGCTCTGCTCACAACGAGACTCGCGTAGGGGCTATCCGGAGCGGGCAAACCCCTCTCCCCATCCCTGTCTGCCCCCATTCCCATCATCATCATCCCCACGGCCGGGTGGGAGCCACCCGAGCACCTCGTGGGCAGCACAGGGCGCTGTTTGTTCAGCCGTGCAATCGCCCAGAGCCTCCCAGCTTGCGTTAAATGTAATTTACTGAGCCGGACTAAAAGGCTGCAAACAGGGCTGGATTCTGGCAGCCCTTCGGGCCCGTTGCTAAGGGATGCCCTTGGCTTTCAGACAGAAAACAAGCCCGCTTTTCTCCTCCGTTTGCCCTCCAAGCGCTGTCTCCTGCCTCTTTGTGTGCCAGGAGATATTCGTCTAATAACATTAGCTTGCCTGCGCCGAGTGGACGGTGCTTGAATGTTTAGACCTTTTAAGATCGAGAAAGCAGGCTTTGGTTGGCTAATCTGTAGTATTTGGCAAGTAAAATGCAAGTATTTAGTGCTGGGCATTGGTTGTCAAGGGAACGGGTCTAAGCCTTTCCTCTGTGCATAACTGATTGAATTTTTCTATGCAGGCCGTGCGTCATGTTCATATATATAGACAAAATGATCATTCACTGTCCACACAATCGTCGGTCTGTACAGAAAAGGGACCATCCTGTTAGTGGGGTCAGGGCTAGGGAGAAGTTATATGAATAGGAAAGTGTGTGTGTGTGGATAGAGGGGGTGAAAAAAAGATAATAAACCTGCCTATAAATAACCGATTGCAAATAATGTAGGTGGAGAGGGAGGAGCTGAGATAAAATGATGTGTTTTTAATAAAGGCTAGTGGGGAGGGTGTGGGCACGGGTGGAGGGTCACTTGCCTTGGGCCAAGGAGAGAGATTGCAAGTTAAGCAAGGGACCGCTCCAGATTGCGGACGCCAAAGAGGCAGTCAGGCATTTGTTGGGAAAATAAATACCTAAAGAGGCTCTGGATGGGAAAAATAAGTGTGAAAAAGGGCTCCACATGGGAAACCTGAGCCTGGGAGTGCACGGGGATTTCAAATACACACCACCATGGTCAGGGCGAGGGACAGGGGGGTGTTCAAGCCCCGGCACAGCCAGGGTGCGAGGGGATGGTGGGAGCCACTGCGCCTTCCAACAAGGACCTGAATGATGGAGATGCCCTGGGAACATGTCCCGCATGGGGACATGAGGCAATCCGATGCGTCCAGGTGAAGTCCTTTGTAAGGCAGGTGTGCCAGGTTTTCAAACATCTTTGCTTTTTTGCCTGAAGCCCATGGAAGAAGCATAGGGAGAGGAGATGGGAGAGACGTTGTCTTCTGCCCAGATTCCTTCTGACGGTAAAAGCTGAGGGAATTGGAGACTTGACAGCAAAAACCGTGGGCTGTCCAGGGTTGTGGGAATACACAGAGGAGCTCTCCTTCAAAAGACTGTCAGCAGAACAGACTTGATGTTACGAGACGCTTTCCCATGTGCCAAACTTTGTCCTCATGAGACAGCAGGGACCCTGGAATGGGGATCCAGTTGTGTGCAGCCGCCCTGGGCCCTGCGGGAGAGGAGCATCACCTGGGAAGGGGACACGGTCTGGTGAGAGCGGGACACGCTCCTCCTGGACCTGCTCTGGCCCTGGCAGACCCCTGGGATGGATTTAGAGATGGATCCTATCACGGAATTATAAAATGGATGGGGGCAACTAGGAGCTGTGGAAAACTGCCTGTATAAGAAAGATGCTAGAGAAAAGCATATCTGAAATCAGAGCACTGATTTGCCACTGAATCTGGGCACTTTGGATAAAGAAAGGAATGACTGGCTGCAGTGGTGTCCAAGAAGGGCCAGCAAGGTGCTGCTGGGCAAATGTGGCATCTTGTGTCCCCTGAAAGTTGCTGCCTCGTCGGCCACCGCCGCACCAGGCTGTGTTTGCTCCAGCTGTTTGGGTTCAGGGTGAGCCGTTTTTCCAGACAAACATCCACTCCCCCCACCTTTTATTTTTTTAAGACCAGAGGGAACCTCTTTAGTAACAGAGTTAAAAATCTCCCCCCGCAAGGTGTGCTGAGCAAGACTGTGAGGCTTGATGCAGGATTAAGCCAGGTCTAATCTCAGAGAGAGATGGGGAATCCACCCCATCCTTGAGCAGACTGGTCCCGTTGGTGCCAGCCCTGGGAGACTGGCCTGGCCTGGGAGAAGTGGGACCTCAAAATGAAGCTTCCAGGAAGCCCCCTTAGCAAGAGTATTTTGATCGTGTAGCCAAGGGTAGAGCCCTGCCCTGTCACTTAGGGTTTCAAGGTCATGCAGCCTTGGGGACAGTGATGTTTGGGTGTGCTGGGTCCCAGCGCTCCAAGCTCTGTGGGGACAGCGCTTCCCAAGCTGGATCTCATGCCTGGTGGCTCTGCGTTTCCTCTTAGGGCACGGACGCTCGGAGGATGACTGCGGGGACGAGAGGAGCCGCCACCGGGACAGCCACCTCCTGGCAGGGCGCTTGGAGCGGGATCAGGAGAAGCTGCTCAGGTGAGGCCAGCCCGGGGACGGGGTGTCCGGGTGCCACTGCTGCAAGTCGTGCTTGGGGACAGCCTGTGTGGAGAGGGGCCGGGGATGTCCCTGTCCTGCTAGAGCTGCTGCCACCAGCCTTGCTGCTCTGGGGAGGCCGTGGCATTCAGTGGGGTGTCACGGGGTTACAGATGGCCCCAGATCTGCAACAGAGTGACCCTAAAGTGTTGCTGCAAATCTGTGCCGCCTCCAAAGAGACAGAGAAATGGGATGTTTTACTGTGGCCACAGTGTTACCCGCCCTATGCCCCTGCTCTGCTTGAGTGCCTGAGCCCACCTTGCAAATGTTCTCTGTTCTGCAGCTGGTCCATCCCGCCAGACTGCTCCGGCCGCTCGGTACCTCACATCATCCCTCACCCTCTCTCTTGCCTCCCCCACATGCAGGGAGAGCAAGGAGCTGGCAGATTTTGCTCGGATCCACCCGTCGGGCTGTGCCACGAACGGCTTGAACTCCAACCTCATGGTGACGGGAGGCCCGACCCTGCCGGGCTCCGGGCGCTGGTCGGCAGACCCGGCTTCGCACTTGGCGGCTCATCCCTGGCTGCCGCGGACGGGGAGCCCCTCCATGTGGCTGGCCGGCCACCCCTACGGTGAGTGTGTGCGGTGCAGGGAGACACATCCCAGAGCACCGGGCAAGGCAGGGGTTGGATCGTGGTGTTTTGGAGCGGTCAAGCTGCACGTGGCCTCTTCGCCGTCGGGAGATGTGCTGAATGCCCCCAGCTGTGATCCTGGTGTTTCTTCTTCCAGGACTTGGCCACCCTTCCCTGCACCAGGGCATGACTCCAGGCTTCCCCCCTGCCATGGGGGGAGCTCTCCCTTCTGCCTACCAGTTTGCCAGAGACCCGCAGTCAGGACAGCTTGTCGTCATCCCCAGTGAGCACTTGCCGCACTTTGGTAAGGACACGAGCATGTCACAGGTCCCATGGGGTGTCCCACGGTGGCGGGAGGGAGTGACGTGGGTGCACGGGACCTCCAGCAATGCCTGAGCGTGGAGCCTTCTGCTTCAGCTTGAAACAAGGTGCTCACGGGCTCAGTGAAGATGATGAGCTGTTGTTGGACACACGCTGGGGAAGCAAGAAAGAGGGTCTGGCTGCCTGGAACCACATGGTGCTGTCTGCATTGCTCCTGCCAAGCCGAGCTTTGCGGCCTGCAGCTTGCCTGAAGGCTCTGACAGCTGTGGAGAAAAAAAGACTTTGGAGGTGGCTAGTTAGGAACCTAGGTACCCATGGGGACCAGAAGCAGCATCTCTAGGGTGAGAGTGAACTGGGCTCTTGCTCGGTGCATTTTGGAGATGGAAAGTGTAGCCCTCAGCAGCAGTTGCAAAGCAAGTCCCGTAGCCTCAGGGCCTGTGGGAGGGTGTCAGTGGGGATTTTGGGGGCACATGTTACATTTCCCCTCCACCTTTCTGGATGTGTCTCTGTAGCGTGCATTGCATCCCCTACCCCCTGGTAGGAACCCGGGGACCCCGAATCCTCCAGCCACCCCATCCTTGTGCCCGGCTGACTGTGTCTCTGCTCATTCCGCAGCGGAGCTGATGGAGCGGACGCCGCCGCTGTGGCCCGCGATGTACCCGCCGACGCGGGGCTCCCTGCAGCCAGCCCCCGGCAGCACGCGCACCAGCTCCAGCTCCTCTCCCACCAGCAGCTGCTGCGGCAGCACGAGCTCTACATCCTGCAGCAGCAGGCGGCCCACGCCATGGAGCTGCAGAGGAGCGCCCAGCTCGTGGTATGTTCCTTGCTTGGGGGTGAAACGAGCCTCAAGCTGGGGGGAATGATGGGGAGGAGCAGCCCTGTTGGTGTTGCAGGTGTGTCTTGAGGGTAGGGGTGCACTGGGGAGTCCAGCTGTGGTTCCTGCGTTCTGGAGTCTTTGGTGAGTCCATCCAGGTTTTGGGATGGTTTGGTGTGGCACTGCTGGACGGTGCAGCCACGGAGCCGCCCAGCAGCAGCGTGGCCTTGGTTCCTTCCATAGGAGCATCTCTGTTGAGAGCTTTCAGCCCTGGTGGCCTCCAGACAAATGTCTCATGGTGGCTCAGGGAAACATCTGCAACGCTGGCGGCAGTGGAATGCCCTGGAACTCCAGACCTGCAGCCTTTCCTAACCTTAAACATTTAACCCTCCTCTGTCCCAGCCAGCTCTCTGTGTAGGAAGTGTTAGTTCAAGGACAGTGAGCCTCTCCATCTGATAGACCGTCAAACAGTGTTGCATGGTGGGGAAAAAAATACGTGTTTTTCTCCAGGCTGCATTTGACAAGGCTGTATTTTGGTCTCATTTCGAGGTAGGCCCATGTTGCTTTCCAGGAGCGGGTAGAGTCGTGCTAAGTTTTGCTCTGTTCTTGCCGCAGGAGAGGTTGAAAGCGAACGAGCAGCGCGCGGACATGGAAGAGAAGGTGACGAAACGCAGCCTGGACAGTGCCAAATCAGGCCTCTCCTCCTCTGCCCCGGGACTGGTGCACCGAAAGCCACCCGTGCTGTCCCCCAGCGCCTCCACGTCCTACAGCAAGGCTGTGAGTCCACCCCCCCTCTCTCCCAGGGCCTCACCCGTGTCTGTGCTCAAAGCTGAGGTGATCCAAAAGCTGGAGGAGCCACCTTCGCAGCCAGCCTACTCCTACCCCGCCACCCCCAGCTCCCATCCTTCCAGCCCGCCCCCCGCCTCTCCACCCCCTGCCCCTGCCATCCCTCCAAAGGAAGAGGCGCCCGAGACCGCCGAGAAGAAAGACCTGGAGCTGGAAAAAGAGGCTGCCGGGCCCTTTCAGGCCTTGTTCCCAGGTAAGAGCGCCCTGCTTTGGCAGAGTCCTGTTGTGTTTGTGCCTGGCTCCCTGTTTCTCCTTGGCTCTTTCCTGCTTCCAACCCTTCCCCTGGAGAAAACCACGTAGCTCCTGTACACGGCAGGGGAGAGGCAGGGGCCAGGAGGAGGCTGGTGGGCTGGGGTCGCTGCCTGGGGCATAGGGGCGCCTGGGGCTGTGCACTCTCTTCTTCCCATGCATTGAGCCTGGGCCAGTTCCTCAGGGATGAAGTCTTGGTGAGAGAAGGATGCAGGAAGCAACCCCCGCCTCTTGGCACAGGAGGGTGTTGGAAAAGTGTGGAAGGGACCTCTTGGGTGCTGCTGCCTGAGGAAGAGGGTGGCATGTGAACCAGGAGAGAGGTGCTCAAAGCAGCTGCTGTTGCAGGAGGGGAAGCGTTGAGAGATGCTGGAAACAAATGCTGTAGTGAAAGTGCCTCGGAGACCCAGCCGTTATGCAGCCTGTCCCTTCTATGTCTTGCAGAGATCCCCCCGGGATACCCATTCCAGTCGCTGCCTCCCTCCTTCGGAAGGCACTATCCCTACCTCCTGCAGCCCGCCGCAGCGTCTGACGCGGACGGCCTGGCTCCTGACGTCCCGCAGGCTGGCGAAGGC